TCAACGTGGCCTGTTAGCTGATTTGCCTGGCTCTGGTCGAAGTCACAAGATGAGCTTTGCATCACCTGTTTTTAGTAGGGTATCTGCTTAAACACGTCAGAGACGCCTTGGCATCATGTTTTCTATGGCTGAATTACCAGAAGGACTGGTCAAAGAACATGAAATTATTTAGGAAGTTGTGGTGTAATAGGAAATATATTTAGCCCTTGTCCCCTAGCTCTTGTCGCAGAGCTGCTAAGCCCTTTGAATATCCTGAGTCAAAGGGGTATCTCTGACAACCCCTAACACTTTGATCACACTTGAGTTTATACTAATGAAGTGTTTTTGGGTGAGGCCCTTGGATAGCCTCAGAATGGGACCAGACACCAGAAAGAGCAAGTACTTACAGGGTTGGAACTTGTACTTCCATTCACCAACTCTGTGAAGTGTGCATTTTGTTTTTGGGGGGCTGGAGATTGAGCTGTGTAAAAAATCCTGGATAGTCAGATTCCATGGACTTCCAGATTGGTAAACTGCACCCATGTATGGGAAGGTGGTGCACCCCAAGTCCATGGGACAGTGGGGTTTTTTTTGGACCTTGCCCTATATCTCATCTGCTGTTCGTGTGTATCCTTTAATACCCTTTGCAACACACCAGCCAAGGTAAGCAAAGAATTTATCTGCCATTCTAGCAAATTATGGAACCTGAGGTGGGGTGTCTTGGTGTCCAGAGGAGCTATAGGAGTTCAGGGGTCCACAAGTGAACTGGCATCTGCAGTGGGGACAGTTTTGTGGGCCTGAGCCCTTAACTGTGGCATCTGATGCTAACCAACTCTGGGCAGGCAGAATTGGAATTGAATTCCATTGTAGGACACTTAGTTGGTGTCCAGGGGTGGAGAACAGCTTGATGTGCATTTCCTAACCCCCTCCCTCTGCTGTCAGAAGTGATGCTCTGTGTGAATACAGAGAGAAGATACTATTTTTTGGTTTTGTGTTTTCTTTTTCCCCCTCAGTGGGATTTAGAAGAAGTGGAGGAAGAATTTAAGAAATTCAGTACATAGAGGTAACCTAGTACTGTCCCCTACTCAAGGCAGTGGGCTCTGGAGAGGCCTGTGAGAAAGAGACCTTGGGAAAGACACATAACATCTTTCCATTTCAGTTCTGCCAACCATTAGATGGGGGAAATAGTAACACCCCACCTCTTAGGGTTCTTACAAGGTTCACATGATATGAACATGACAGGTCTGGCAAAGTGTGTTTTTGGCGGACACAATATCTTTGTATGTGGTGCTGAGGATCGAACCCGGGCCGCATGCATGCCAGGCGAGTGTGCTACCGCTTGAGCCACATCCCCAGCCCATTTTTTAAAAATTTTTTAATTGATTTTTGTAGTACTGGGGATTGAACTCAGGGGCACTCTACCATGGGAGCCATGCACCCAGCCCTTTCCTTATTTTATTTATTTATTTAATTTTGAGACAGGGTCTTTCCAAGCCTTCAAGCTGCTCTATTGGAAATGGCAGAAGCCTAGAAGAATCCTGAAGCACTTGGGAAAAATCAAGTCCTGAAAATGATGAGGACTTTTTTTTTTTTTTTTTTTTTAAATTTTTTTTATTGGTTGTTCAAAACATTATAAAGCTCTTGACATATCATATTTCATACATTAGATTCCAGTTGGTTATGAACTCCCAATTTTACCCCAAATACAGATTGCAGAATCACATCGGTTACACATCCACATTTTTACATAATGCCCTATTAGTAACTGTTGTATTCTGCTACCTTTCCTATCCTCTACCATCCCCCCTCCCTCCCCTCCCATCTTCTCTCTCTACCCCATCCACTGTAATTCATATCTCTCCTTGTTTATTTTCCCATTCCCCTCACAACCTCTTGATGAGGACTTTTTTAAAGGAAGGGATTGTGGAAAAAGGCTTATATAATGCAGTCTGGGAAGGCTACAAACAAGAATAGTGTTAAAAGCAGGCACAGGGGCTGGGGTTGTGGCTCAGTGGTAGAGCACTTGCCTAGCACGTGGGAGGCACTAGGTTTGATCCTCAGCACCAGATAAAAATAAATAAATAAAATAAAGGTATTATGTCCATCCACAACTAAAAATATTAAAAAAACAAAAGGCAGGCACAGCGCAGTCCAAGCCACATGTTTGGACTAAGCCAACTCAAGTAATTTCTAGAATCCTACAGTACCTTCATTGGACAGATGTATACCCTTGTCCCCAAATTCACATGTTGAAGCCCTAACTCCAGTGTCACTGTATTTGCAGATAAGGATTTGTGGAGGTAGTTAAGGTCAAAATGGGATCACCAGAGTGACATCCTAATCCGATAGGGTTGGTAGGCTTATAAGAAAAGGAAAAGAGAGTGAGAGTGAGAGAGATCTGTTTCCATGAGTAGCATTGAGGAAGGCCATATGAGGATGCTGTGATAAGATGGCCATCTGCACGCTGAGAGGAGAACCATCACCAGGAACCGAACTGGCCAGCACCTTGACCTTGGACTTCCCAGCTGACAGAGCTATGCGAGAACAAGTTTCTGTTGTTAAGCCACCCAGTCTCTGTCAGTCTACTCAGGCTGATGGTACCAAATGCCAGAGTGCCCAGACCAAAAAGAATCTTAGAATTTTATAAAGGTGCCTCTGAACTCAAGGCTGAAAGCATGAAATGGCAAGAGGACAAGAAAAAAAAAATTGTTTTGTACTTATTAGATGACCCTTTGTGTGCAGACCTGCAGCTTTAACATGTCTTTAAGGTAGAATAAAAGTACTTTAATTTCTGGAAAGACTGAGTATGGTTCAGAGGCTTCAAATGTTCCCAGAATCTTGGTGGGGGTAGGACACTGCTAATTACTAGACAGAGAGGGTACAGAGAGGGAGAGGACTGCTGATGTTCCTTAAAGGTCTCACCACCTATTCATGCAACAAATATTTCCTGAACACCTATCACGTGCCAAATCACTCCCCCTGCCTAAAACTTTTCAGAGGTGTCCAATGCCCTGGGGGATATTTAATAACATATAATAATGAAGATGATGATAAAAACATCAAACTTACAGAGAGCTTCTTATATATAAGGTATTCATTTCTTGTGGAATCCATATTTTTAAATTTACCTACTTAATAAAATATATTTGTAACCCTAAATCAATACGGTGCTTGTAAGTCATTCATGGAGGTTTTCAGACTGTCAAAAAATGGCAGTCATCTGATATACATGTTTTTAGCTGAGCTCAAATAAGGTCTCCTGTCCCCTTGTTTCAACTTTTATGCTGTAAATTTTTTTTTTTTTTGGTGGTCTCTATGTCTAAGGGTCCGTGCCTTACAGAGGAAGGACAAGTGCTAGAGAAGCTTTGTTCAGGAATGAGTCATGGTGCTGTCCGCCCAGAATTCACCGCTCATGAATTAACAGCATATTTTTAAATAAGGTGTCTTGAAACAGAAACACATAACACGAGGTTCTGTGTGGATCATTAGATGAACATGTAGTGAGGAGAGGCTCACGGGAAGCTCAGCCCGTATTTCCTCTGTGAGCAATACTGTTCCTTATTCACTGACTCATCCTTTAAGGCAGCTTTACAGAACATGAGTGTAGTGGATTATGAGCACTGATGGTGGTAACCCAAAACTACTGAGAACCTTGTGAGTCTTTTCCATAGCATACGCAACCCTCTACCACAACATCTCTGTGGAGATCCTCATGTATGGAGACTCAGAGATAGAGATAGAGATAGATAGAGATAGAGATAGACAGAGAACAAAACAGTGACCTGGCATTCTGGAGCCTGAGAAGTTTGGAGTACTAAGACCATTAGCCCTGACCTAGGCATTTAGTGTGTGTAGTTAATGACAATGTCCAGGATGCAGCCACAGCAGGAGACTGAAATGTAGCCCAGGGAGGATGGCTGGAGTGCAGAAAGTCAAGGAGGCTTGGAACTTACGGTACTGAATGATACGGAGCATCTAGAAAGTTCCCAAATGATGATAGACTAGGAAGACGACAGGAACCTCGAAGGAAGCTAAGGCTCTGCACAAGGAGGCAGCTTGAGGACATGGAATTGGCAAAGGGAACAAGGACAATGTGCACAGTATGTTTGAGAGACACAGGGTAAAGGAGGAAATAGGTTGGATCCACAGGAGTAAAATATACAGAACATAGTCCTGCAAGGTGGGCTAAAGAAGGAAATGGTGAGGGAGCTGGGGAGGAGACCCGCAGAGAAGATGGGGAGGGAGGTCTGTGAGCCTGTGTCCTGGTACCTGAACTTGACAATACACTAGAACCCACCGGAGGGCTGAGTATCAAGTTTCTGATCCAGTGGCCCTGGAGTCAGGACAGAGAAACTGCATTTCTTTTTTTTTTTTTTTGTTTCTCACTATTTTTATACTTTTTTAAAAATTTTTATTGTTGGTTGTTCAAAACATTACATAGTTCTTGACATATATTTCACACTTTGATTCAAGTGGGTTATGAACTCCTATTTTTACCCCGTATACAGATTGCAGAATCACATTGGTTACACATCCACTGATTTACATATTGCCATACTAGTGTCTGTTGTATTCTGCTGCCTTTCCTATCCTCTACTATCCCCCCTCCCCTCCCCTCCCCTCCCCTAAGAAGTTCCCAATTGAGGCTGTTACTGCTGGTCCTTGGGACACGCTGAGAGCCACTGTCCCGGGGCAAGGTCTTTATTGGAGAAATTCCACAATGCCTGAGGGGATCCACTGACTGGCCATCTTTTGTGTGAAGGCTTCCTTGGGTCATGGCTCATCACACATTTTAGAATCCTCTCCCCTAGCAACAAGAGTAAGGGGGAAAACAGGATTTTTCTCAAACTTGAAGGGGCCAGAAAGAAGCAGACTTTGCTCTGTCTACTGGATTTAATGTTTTAGGGAATAAAAACTGTAGTGAAAAAACCTGTATCACCAAGTGACAGAAAATTTAATAAAAAGTGGAAAGAATACACTTTCCCCCCAAGTGCATAGGAAAAAAAAGTAGAATAGCTTACCTGTTGGGGAGACTGTCCATTAGGTCCCTCTAGCAATTCAACTTCTCTCCCTGCAACAACAAAAATGTTGAAATTGAGGTTTGCACACTGCCTCCTTGTCACGGCCAGTTTGCATCAGGAAGGTGACAGGTAACAGAAACAGATCTGCCGAGGGGTGCTGCCCTGAGGGGGATGGATTCCTGGCCAGGCAGGCAAGGGGTTTGAAACTCCTCAGGCTTGAGTTAAACAACCCCCGTCCTGGTACTTCATAATCAATTAATTAACAACAAAAATTTCACTGAAATTTTATCACGTTGATAAAATAATATTGTAATGAGATAAAGTCATGACATGTAAACTGTTTACCATGTGCTGGGAACTGTTCAATAACCAAAAGCTATCTACCATGGTCTGTGTCTCCCCTGAAAGTTATCACATTGAGGCCTAATCCCCAAGGTGATAGTCAGAAGGTGGGGCCTTGGAGAGGCGATTGGGTCACAAGAGCAGAGTCCTTGTGAATGGGACTAATTAATGCCTTTACAAAAGAGACCCCTGGGAGATTTTGTGTCCCTTCATCCAAATGAGGTTATGGTGAAAAGATGGCCATCTGGTATGGGGGCACTTCTCGGACACCAAATCTCTTCACACCTTGATCCTGTAATTGTGGGAAATATATTTCTGTTGTTTATAAGTCACCGAGTCTAAGGCATTTTATTAAGCTGCCCGGACAGACCAAGATACTTTAGTGGTTATTAGGGTTGATAAATACCACATGATAGCACACCTCTTCCCTGATGGGTATAGTTTCAACTAGAAAAAAAAAAAAAAGGGAAGAAATTTGCTCCTCAGAGATATATCAAGTGAAGTTTCAATGAGTAAATGCAATGTACAATATTTCAAAAAATATATATAATTTAAAAATTATCTTTGCTTATAAGGAAAACATTATATACAACTTAAGAAGGAACATAAAATGTTAAGATTTTTACCAACTTTTTTATGGTTATTAGAATAATTTGCTATCTGTAGACACCAATTTTTCAAGAAATGCTCTTATTTCAATCCCATATATGAAATAACCATATAATGAACTTTGCCTCAAATCAACCACAAAATATTGGAGTAGTTGCATACATCCAGTGATTCAATTTATATATATTTTTTAAAAAGCTCTATTTAGTTTAGTTAAAAATATCTTTATTTATTTATTTTTTAATGTGGTGCTGAGGATTGAACCCAGTGCGTCACACAGGCAAGGCAAGCACTCTACCACTGAGCCACAATCCCAACCCTCAATTTATAATTTTGTTAGCCATTTTTCATCTAGTATTATTTTCATTGTTCAATAATTCCTTAGAATCTAAAATGTAGCTCAGATGGTCCATGATTCTATTATTCTTAATTTTTACCATAGTGCTCATAATTGGACTCCTATGACTTGATAGGGAAGACATGAGAAAGGTCAAGTTCAAGCTCTCGGGGAGCTAACTAGCTGGAGAGGTCAAGAGGAAAAGAAGAGCTTTTAAATAACTAAAATATTGTGCAGGGAGCACATATACCATGAATGGGAACATCAACCACACCCTGAGGAGGTTCAGCCCTGGAGGGCTGTGTAAGTGAGTAGCCTCTAGATACTGATAGCACCTGGCCAGGTAGACAGAGGTGAGAGGAAGAGTGGCAGGTGGGGAACGGATGACGGCTAGTGGGGTGGGAGGTGAGAAGGCTTGGGGTATCACTTATTTAGCCAACAAACAACTCTGAATGCCGCTTTGTGACAAGCCCTGTGCTAGGGACCAGGATGCCGCAGTGAGGCACAGTCAGCAGGCTCTACAGATGACAGCCTCATGCGCAGGGGAGAGAATGCTCTGGATTCCTGCAGTTTAAAGATGAAGACAGTGAGGAGACTTGGGAGGGACGAGTATTTACTTGGAGAACTACATCTCACTTCAAAGAGTAAGATGAGAAAAGAGCACAGTCACATCTCCATGCTTTTTAGAGGGGTAAAAGGCTCTGAGCAAAAGAAATAGAAAGAGCACCGGAAAGGTTTACTGGTCCAAAGGGATCAAATGCGATGCAGAGGTCAGAGGCAACTCTTAAAACTGGATCCTTCTCTTCACATCAATTATGTTACATTCCTCCTAGAAAAAATCCAAAAGGCGCCCCTCTAGTCAGGCCCTCTGTCTCCTCCAATCAGCCCCTCATTTTCCCTGCGAGGGATGCACTGTTTCTGAAGGGAACCCCGCAGTCAGCAACAGCAAGCCTGTATTTTAACTGATGAGAAAATCAGGTCTGAATGGTAGCAACTTATCCAAGGTCACCCAGGTTGCTAGTGATGAGCAGCCAGGACCTGCTCACCAGGTTTCCTGGCCTCCCATCTCACAGCTCCTCTATGAACTGATACTCTCACATAAGCCTTGGCTTAGCTTTGAACAAGGTACTGAACCGTCTGTCAGAAGCTTCTCTTAGACGTCTGCACATTTTGTGAGAAGTTACTGGGCCGAGCAGGGTGCCAAGGGCTGCGAGTGGAAAGGGTGAACAGAACATTCCCTGGTCCCACTATGGAATGTGGTTGGTAGACAGAAATCACAACCAGTGATAAGTGCTTTGTAGGAAACCAAGTGCACGTGGCAATTTGGAGTTACAGGGAAGAATCCACTTTTTGAGGAAAGGGCCCTTGGATAGAGTAGTGTTGGAACAGATCCAAACACAACATGAAGCCGGTCAAGCCAAGACTAGCTCTCAACCAGCCACTGCATGGTTAGCAAATCTTTGCCTACTGAGTCTCTAAGATCCTCAGCTAAGTATTCAAGGTCATTCACAGCATGACATCAATGGCCTTCCTATGGTATCTCTGAAACTAGCCCATTTGAATTTTTTTATTGTTCTCTAAATATGCCAAAATGCTCCTGTTTCTGTCTTTGCACCCATTATTTTCGCCAGTTGTCATGCCACCATACCCATCAATACTTTGCAAAATTCTACTCATCCTTCAGAACTCATTTCACACAACATCCAACTGCTCTGTGTCAGAAAAAGACATGAACCCATAGGGAAAGCCACCAAGGAGATGAAAACAGAGAGCCCATGGATGTGTAGTGACTCACTGTATCAGTCAGCTTGATATTACTATAATGAAATACCTGAGGCAATAAAAGAATAAAAGTCTTATTTAGCTCACAATTCTAGAGAGTCCAGTCTAAGATCAGGTGGCCCCAATTGCTTTTTTACCTTTGAAAAAGGTAATGAATGCATTATGGCAGGAATGCATGGAACAGCAAAAAGGACCAGAAAGCAGAGAGAGATGAGAACCTGGGTCCCATAATTCCTCTTGAGGGCATGTCCTAAAGGCCTCAGGACCTCCTATTAGACCCCACCTCCTCCAAGTCCTCAGTACCTCTCAATATCACCACCCTGGGACCAAACCTTTAACACCTAAACCTTGGGGGGACTCTACCCATATTAAAATCATAGCACTGACCGAGTACATCAGCAGTCTGAGAAATGAAGAATGAGCCCAATTTGGATGGTAGAATCCCTAAGACCCAAGGCCAGCCTGGTGAAAGGCGAGGGCTTAAGGCTCATTTGCAAGTTTAAGAAGTTAGGTTCCTAAATCCCCTTCTGCACTCCTGGCCTCAGGGTGGTTACTCCCTCCATCTCAACCAAAGATTGTAGGTTTTGTGTCTGCAGCTGGTTAAACAGGGTTTCTGGACTGAACACAGGAGAGGGTGGGGTTCCCTATTGGAAGCAGGGGTGGGGTGATGGTGGCCACAGAGGACACTGAGCCAAGGCCTGCACATGGATTGGGGCATCCCCAGCCTGCTCCATCCCTGCCCCTCCAGAAATGCTGGGGGCCACCTTAGAGTGGTCCTCCAGGCATCAGAGGACAGTCTCTAGCCAGCCAACCACCCAACCAAGCACAGCAGAGGAAATAGACTAGAGAAGGAAACTACAAAAATAGCCACTAGTGTGCTCAGGTCACTCGCATCTGAAAAGAACGGAAGGCAATTAAAAAAAATTAAAAATAAAAAGATCAGAGAACAAAAAACTTAACACCAGAAAAACCAAGTAACCCAATCAATAAATGGGCTAAGCAACAGAACAGACACTTCACAGAAGTGAAGAATCGATCAACACACATTTGAAAAAAGGTTCATCATCTCTAGCAATTAAAGAAATTCAAATCAAAACTACTCCAAGATTTCATCTCACTCCAGTCAGAATGGCAATTATCAAGAATATAAGCAACCATAAGTGTTGGTGAGGATTCAGGGAAAAAGGTACATTCATACATTGCTGGTGGGACTTCAAATTGGTGCAACCATTATGGAGATTGCTCAGAAAACTTGAAAAGAAACCATCATTTGATCCACTTATCCCATTCCTAGGTTCATACTCAAAGGACTTAAAAACAGTGTACTACAGTGATGTGGCCACACCAATGTTTATAGAAGCTCAATTCACAATAGCTAAACCAAGGAACCAACCTAGGTGTCCTTCAACAGATGAATGGAAAAAAAAATTTGGTACATATACACAATGGAATATTATTCAGCCTTAAAGAAGAATGAAATTATGGCATTTGCAGGTAAATAGCTGAACTTGGAGAATATAATGCTAAGTGAGAAACCCCAAAACCCAAGGGCTAATCTATAATGAGGGGTGGGTGGATGGGGAAGAATGAAGGAACGGACAGTGGAATGGGACAGACATTATTACCCTATATACATGTATGATTACACTACCATGTGACTACACCATGTTCAGCCAGAGGAAGGAGAAGTTATGCTCCATTTGTGTACAATGTGTCCAAATGCATTCTAGTGTCATGTAACTAGTTAGAACAAATTAAAAAATAAAATAAATCAGAGAACATCCAGGCGTGGTGGTGCACACCTATAATCACAGCAGCTCAGGACACTAAGGCAGGAGGATTACGAGTTCAATGCCAGCCTCAGCAAAAAGAAGGCGCTAAGCAACTCAGTGAGACCCTATCTCTAAGTAAAATACAAAACAGGGCTGGGGATGTGGCTCAGTGGTCGAGTGCCCTGAATTCAATCCGGGGTACCTCACC